CAGATGCACAGTAAACAGGATTGCTGTTGTTGATGGTGCCCTCTTGTGAGGAGGAATGGTCCAAGGAACAGAATGAAACGGTGTCCTTGCTTTCCTCATCTAGTTTTAATGAAGAGAGAATCATAGAGAAGTAGGGTTGAAAGGGACCTCCAGGCTAGGGACAGAGATTCAAAAAGCCTGAGCCTGAATTGATTCAATCTTTGCAGGTTAGTCTAATCTGGCTAGGCTGAACCAGTTTGTAACCAGACAGACATCCCCTCTGGACTGAAGAAATGTGGGCACATGCCTGCAGTAGCTCAGGCTAGAAGCTGAGGGGGAGCTAGAGCAGCCCTCCCTTCCATTCTACAGTGCTGAGCTGAGGGGGGGTTGTGGCCAGGCCCCAGCAGGATGCTGTGATTAGGGAGGGGTTACCCCCCAGCTCCTGAGCATCTCAGCAGGGAGTTGATAACACAGTACTGATCATCCCTAACTCGGTGTTTATCAGTCCATTACAGCCTCTCTCCATTAGTTCAAGCTTTTCCAAGGAAGGAATGGAGGGACATTACCAACTACCTGTTGAGTAGCTCCAAAAAGCCCTAAGATGACACAGTCCTGTCTGCCTTTATCCCATCTGCCACACCATGGTCCGTAGCCAGCATGTGGTATGCTAGCGAATGCTGAGAGGTGTCTGTGTAAGGCAGAGGGGAGGGGGGAATCCCTGCTTGAGCAGAGAGTGGTGAAGGTGGTGAGGGGGAAAGGAGCAGGAGGAAGCCAGGCAGACCCTGCTGTATGTGCAGTCTCTGACAGAGCTGCAGCATGACAGCAGCGGGAAGGTGCCGGCCCTGCCCAGCCCAGAGAGCATGCCAGGGTACTGGGGGACACTGATTTAACTTCAGCCAGGAAGGGGTCTGGGAAAGACATTGTATAAACCGGTTTGACCCAAAACTGTTAAGTCTGATACTACATTCATCCCGGTTTTTCTCAAACTGGTTAATGTGCACTGAACTTCTTTTCTGTTACAAGTTTAAACCAGTTTCTGATCACTTCAACTGGTTTATGTGTAATGTATGTCCCTAGCCCCAGAGGTCATCTCTAGTCCAACCCCCTGCCTTGAAGCAAGATCATCCCTATCCAAACCATTCTATACAGAGAGTTTAGATTATGGTTTGTAGGCAGGCTGGGAAGCTGCTCTGATGTGCTGTAATTACATCATATCAGAGCAAACTCAGTTAATTGAATCTGCTGGATTGTGCTAATTAATGTGCTTCAGCCAGCCTCTGTGTCTTGCGTATCAGTGTCCCCATGCTTCAAAATGGTAGCAGAGGCACTTTAACTAAAGCTCATTTGACAAGCTTTAGTTAAAGTGCCCTGCCACTGTTTTGGAGCACTGATGCATGAGATGCTGCACCACTTTAGAGTGGCTCGAAGTGGAAAAACTGCAAAAATCGCTTCTCTCCCACTCTTTTTTGTCCTTGAAAAGTGAGAAATCACTTTTGGTGAAATACGGGGAGAAAAACCACCTTCTAATAAAGCAAATCCTGGAAGGATTTCAGCCTTAAAGGCAGTAATTTGAGAAACCTATTTAACCAGGTTTATAATAAAGATTTGTCCAACTTAACTTTAGCCGTTACCAGTAGCTGGAAGTGTAAAGACATATATTAAATTGCATACTGTAGTAGAGATGGTCCAGTACTTACCCAGTGCATATTCCTCGCTTTGATTTCTATTCAAGTTGTTCCTATCAGTAGTGCCTGTGTAATTCTGCAACAACATACGTAAAAGGAAAAAATGAATGACATTTTAGCGATGTGACTAAACTGCAAACATCACAAGCTTTGGGATATTCAAATGTACCTAAGTCTTCTAAAAGCCCTCACTCACTGGAGGTCATTTGAGTTGAGATATTTGAATGTGCACATGGAAATTTAAGCCTAACTTTTTGTTTGTTGAATCTGAATCTGACTAATTCTTAGTTTTACTTTGTTGAAATAGATTCAGTACTGACCAGCATGGCAGCATTGTTGCTACACCTGTGGCTGGAGTTACTTTATTTATGGCTACATTTGAGCACAACAAAAGTTAATAGCCCAGAAAACTTGGCTTTGAGAATTAGGCAGCCTACCGAAAGCCTTGAAAATTCAAGCTTGAGAGCTGTTTTTTGCCAGGTATCAGAAACTCAGTACTCAGGGGTGCGAATGCTTGGAACATTATCTCTGAGCAACACACCTGTTAGCCACAAAACCTACTTAAACACCTCAATATGATGACCCTTTCAATTTCCTCTTTTAATACCTGATAAGATCCTCTGTTCTTCTCCCTGACCTGGTTGTAATTAGGTTCAGGTGTTACTGAAGAGACTGAAGTTTTTGTATGAACTGTTTCATTAAGAAATGAAGGTTGACAGGAGGAACTGACTGTACTGTCTCCTGGAAAAAAAATCAATAAATAATTTCAAATCCTTCCTTGCCTTGCTTAGGATGTATCAGCAGACAGAATGCAAATAAAGGTGGGGGAATGCATGAATGCATTATGCAGGAAAGGAGTAACACATAAGTGATGCTTATCTTAATTAGGTAACAACACGGGTCTATTCCCCACCATACCTCTTTGCAATTTCTGTTAACTCTGGCATTCTCTGTGTCCCTTTCCCTTCCTTTAGTTTCAGTTACCTCTTTGAAATAAAATGAGCTATTTACCCATATCCTCATGACAGACAGACATATTGTGATAACCTGGCACTCTGGATGGACACAAGTCTACCATACTTGGACTGAATCACTGAATCCTCTGTGGTCTAATGGAATTTGGGTCTCGGCATCTTAGGCACTCCCCCAGGTGTGGAACTGCTATCTGACACACTTCTTGGCCAGTGGAACCCCACGCAGTTCAGTTTCCAAGCCTTGGATCCAGTGCCGCACTCAGCCTGAACCCCCAGTTGATTAGTCACCAGAAGGCCATCTGGTGGTAAGAGGTCTGGTTTCTTAGGGTGCAGACAGAAGTTATGTTGTCATGCAATCGGCCCCCTGAAAGGGCTCTACAACCATGCCATGATGCACATTCATGACTGCAGAGCACTTTTTAAAGTGGCTGATCATGTGACAAATTAACCTTCATTAAATGAAAGATCAAATGAAGGTGCTCCACTTTGGATCTCCTTAGGGAACTTTTGTTTCCTAGGGCTAACTTGTGTGATGGGAGCTATGCTGCATCAGCCCAGCCTCATCCCTGGGGCTGTCAGCAGGAAGGGAAGAGTGAGGGGCAAGGAGGGGTGAGCTGCCAACTGGGGTTTGCCTGTCTTGAGCTGGACGGGAAGGTTGGGGGGGGGTGTGGGGATGGGCAACAAGCCACTTGCCCCTCCTCCATCTCAGGCTGGGCAAACCCCAGCTGGCAGCTTGCTCCCCCTCTCTCCTCCCTTCCTGCTGACAGCCATGGTACTGCGGGAGGTGGGTGTGGGGGAGTAGCTTGGCTGCAGGCAGACTCATTGGGCTCATGCAGGCAGACTCAATCACCCCGCACCCCCACCAAGTAGGTGAATGTACTTTGGGTTGGGGAGGGGTGCTGTAACTCATGGTGCTCTATGTAAAGTAACGTGAGTTGGAGTAGGGGCCTGCACATCTGTCAGTGCCCTTAGTTACCCCCTTCAAGGACACCTTGACAGTATGGCAAGGAGCACTGTTTTGGCAAAGGAATTTCTTATCCATAAATGTTTTACTCTTACAAAGCACTAGAGAGTTGTAGATGTATAGCAAAGCTTTGTGGAGGGCCTTTCAATGCTTCGTCCAATGAATATTGAGCCTCTGCTCCATTATGGATGTGCTGATCCACACGGAAGGTTACAATTACAAATGATGTCAGTAAACAAAAAAGACATAATAATTAGGCATAGATATATTCCTAAATGGCCAGGTCTTATGGGTGACAGTTTGGCACATGCATCTCTCTCGTGCACAGGGAAAGAACTGTCTAGAAGGAAGTGGCTCCTTTTCAGCACAATTCCCCTCATACCGTGTTTGGAAGATCTAAAAAGAATGGTAGCCTTGATTTGCTCTTTTTCCTTTACTACCAATTCAGGAATCCCTTTGCAAGAAGCTTAAGAAAAGGGTAACACTTTGGAAGTGCTGGTAATCATATATTACTACAGCGATATTAAACACTATGCTTTAACTGAGAACTCAGTGCTTACCCACTTCACATTCCTTGCTTGGCTTTCTGTACACATCTTTTTCATCAGTAGCATCTAAGTCCTTCTGCCACATAAAACATGCAAAAGAAACAATATTGTGTTAGTGATCCCCCTGCCCAACCTTAGATCAGTCGCATGGAAATGGGATTCATGGGTTGGTCATGTAAAACAGCATCTGACTTCCTTGTTTCCTTTGGAAAAATAAGCCACAGAGGCTGTGATTTCAGATCTGTCCAACTCTCACAAGAGCACTTGCCCAGTGCAAGTTAGCAGAACATCTACTCCTAACCAGACTTAGGGGTTTAGATGAGGGTTGCTTACCAAAAGCCTGAGAACCAAAGTGCAAGTTGTCATGTCACAGGCATTAGAGGCTCTGAACTCTGGGGTGGGAGTTCTCAGAACATTATCTGTGACACATCTTTTAGACATGAAATATGTCCAAAGCCCTAACATGATGACATCTTTTTTTTCTACTGGAGACTGTACTGGTGATGACTTCATACCCGTAAAGATCCTCTGCTCCTCCTCTGTATTGTCTCATAATCATGTTCAGATGTTACTGAAGAGAGTGAAGTTTTTGTAGTTATTAGTTTGTTGAGAAGTGAAAATCGCCTAGAGGGACTGTTTTCACTATTGCCTGAGGAAAAGAAAATGAATAAGTTAATTTCAAATGCCTCCCCATCCAGTCTGGGAAGCATGAAGGGAAGGGTGAGGACATTAAGAAGGGTTTTTGCTTCTGGCTTTGGTTACACTTCCTTAAAAATGGTGCTTTTTTAAAACTGACTTTGGTCCCTCTCTCACCATGTGCGCCACACTGAGAAAAAAGTTCAAATCCTGCCCTCCCCAGCCATCAGATAATGTATGTATTCTTCTGTACTTTACATATACCTTTATTTACAGTCTCTTGGGATTCAGATAATGGTGTATACAGATCTTCATGATTTTCCAGTTCTTTCTGTTGATAATCATTCTCCTGCAGTGTTAATGCCATGTTGTTTTCTGGCACTTCTTGTTCCTACAATATTTTAGAAAAAAGTTTGAGTTTAGTACAGGAACTGAATGGCATAAAAGAGTCAAAGAGCAGTCTCGAGTGCAGGAATATTTTCATAAATGTTTCTGTTTAAGTCCTTCACAGAAACCTGTTGATGTTCTGAGTCTGAAAAGACCATTCCTTTTAATAAGTAAGACAATGCTGTGAATAAAGCAGTTGACCTGATACTGATCTGGAGACCTTTCTATTGCTCCAGAGTGAAAAAAAGGGCAATGGCTTTGTTCCTAAATAGTGTCTTGTGAGAAGGAAACCCAAAAGAGAGTAAAAGTAGAGTATGAAGTTTGAACTTGTTTCTTCTCAGATCCTCTTTATCTTTGCCATACTCCTAGAGGAGAGCTAACAGCTTCTTTCCCAGCAACCTTGAAAATTGCAGCAATGGAACATGGTCATCAGACCTATTGTCTAGACAGTACCATTGCCAAGAAGCCTTAGTATTAGGTATTCACCAGCTAACAAAGAAGTCTGAGCACAGAGTAAATAGAAATAGATTTCTTCATAGGGTTGTTCCTGAAAGCTATGAATGGGCTGGAAGATTTTCAAAACATTTTTAGAACAATACCTAGCTTGGCACCCTGTTCACATCAAGATTATCTCCTCCAACATCACTGGAAGATGCTACCAGAATTACACTTTTAATATCTCCAGAGTTTGATTCAATCCTATCTGATCTGTCAGGGTTCAAATACACAAAATCCACAAACTGCAGATCTATTGAGCTAAGTACCTTTTGGAGAACCTTCAGCCAAACAGTAATAGGTGGAGTGGGCTTGCAGGCTTCCTTTCCACTGGGAGAGGAATCAGCAGTGAGGAATGTGAATATACATTGTACAGTGATACAGGCTGGGGATCGACTGGCTAAACAGCATCTCTGCAGAAAAGGACCTGGGGGTTACAGTGGATAATAAACTGAACGAGAGCCAAGAGTGTGCCCTTGTAGCTAAGAGGACTAACAGCATACTGGGCTGCATTAGTAGGAGCTTTGCTAGCAGATCAGGGGAAGTGATTCTTCCCCTCTATTCAGCACTGGTGAAGCCACATCTAGAGTACCATGTCCAGTTTTGGGCCCCCACTACAGAAAGGATGTGGACAAATTGGAGACAGTCCAACAGAGGGCAACAAAAATGGTTAGGGGACTGGGGGACATGACTTGTGAGGAGAGGCTGAGGGAACTGGGCTTATTTAATTTGGATAAGAGGAGACAGGGAGGGGATTTAATAGCAGCTTTCAACTACCTGAAGGGGGGCTCCAAAGAGGATGGAGATAAACTGTTCTCTGTGGACAGTGGTACCAGATGATAGAGCAAGAAGCAATGGTTTCAAGTTGCAGCAGGTGAAGTTTAGGTTAGGTAGGAAAAACTTTCTCACTAGGAGGGTAGTAAAGCACTGGAACAGGTTGACCAGAGAGTTTGTGGAATCTCCATCCTTGGAGGTTTTTAAGACCCAGATAGACAAAGCCTTGCCAGGGATGTTGTAGTTGGGGATGGTCCTGCTTTGAGCGAGGTGTTGAACTAGATGACCTCCTGAGGTTCCTTTCACTAGTTTTCTATGATTCTTTGATTCTATATTATTAATGTAACTTGCTTATTTACACAATAGAAATGAGTTGTTAACTAAAAATGGTAACAAACAGCATGTGAGCAAGCCCCATTTCAGAAACTTTTGGTTAGTAATGCCTCAAGATATAATCCATTAGAAAGACTAGGACAGAAAGCAAGCTCTTGCTCCTTGTAATAATTCCCCCTAAAAATGATGCATCATAAAACTAAAACTAATACAGTATTTCTTCAAGGACTGAATATGCAAGACTATATGTAACACTACCACCTTGTGACTCCTGTTTAATAGATTTCAGTACATGAAACACAGCTACCCACATCCAACAACCCATTAGATCTGTCTGTGCAATGATGTTCTACCTGATGAGATGCTCTTTTCCTGTGTGTGATATCATTATTGATTTCAGAGCTCTGTTGAGAGACCACTGAAGAGGGTAAAGGTCCATCACCTGGTGGCTGACTAGATAGATTAACCCCTGAGGAAAAAATTATATTGATATATAATTCATAGTATTAAATTATGTAGTATTAAATATGTATGTAATATAGAAGTGCAAGGTTGTTATTTTTAAACATTGTGGGGCTAAAAAGAGTTTACTTCCATGAGTTTAGGACAAATACATTACTTAATATTGGTTCATCCGTTTGTGACTTATTACTCTGTGTGTGTGTGTGTGTGTGTG